GCTCTGGATGCTAAGTTTGCCGCCTACGAATCTCGACTTGTTGCAATCGAAGCTGGCTCGTCCCAGATATCTGATATCGCCCGACGGTTGCAGTGTCTAGAAAGAAAGAGTGCCGCTCTCGAAACAGCTGTCTGTCAACTTACAGATAAGAATGATGATTTGGAAAACCGTTCTCGCAGAAACAACTTGGTCGTGTATGGTCTAGAAGAGCCTGTTAATGAAACCCCTGCATCACTACTGGATAGTGTAACTGAACTGTTGAGCAGAAAACTGTCTGTGACTTGCGATGCCATAGAACGCTGTCATCGTATTGGTATCTCCGCACAAGGTAAAATACGACCTATAATTTTTAAATTGATGGACTTCCGTGACAAAATGCGGATACTCAAAAATGTTTCTAAACTTAAAGGCACACGGATATTTATTAACGAGGATTTTTCACCTCGTATTGGAGACATTCGAAAACAACTCTGGCTTAGTACTGCCGAATTCCGAAGAAATGGCGCAAAGGTCCGTCTACGTTACGACTACGCTCTTGTTGACAACGACCGATACTCGTGGGATTCAACAAATAGAACGCTGATAAAAGTTCCTCCTCCGGTTCTTGCCACCGGATCGAACTGACAGTTACCGAATAAACCATTGTCTGTATTAAACATTAATGCTCGGAGCCTTGTCCCTAAATTTACAGAGTTCTCGTGCATTGCAGCTTCTTATTCACCGCACGTGATGTGTGTTACGGAAACCTGGTTACACGATGGCATTCTTGATTGCGAATTTACACCTCCTAATTACAACGTGGTACGATGCGATAGGTCTTCTAGAGGTGGTGGTGTCGCGCTTTTTTTTAAATCTGGTATTAGCTTTTCGGTTCTTCCCTGTTTACCTAACACAGAGTCTTTATGGTGTAAGGTGCAGCTTGATAAGTTCGTTCTTGTTATCGGAGCGGTTTATCGCGCTCCTAGTTCGGGCCTGCAAACGATCTTTGATATATATGACTACATTCACAAATACAATCTGGCGAATTTCAAGCTTATCTTGCTGGGCGATTTTAATGCACCCGATATAAACTGGGAAACGCTAGTGGTTGGCTGTCGCGACAGGGCCATTTGTGATGCTCTAGTAGATATAGCTGTGTCATTCGACCTAGATCAGGTTGTCAAAACGTGCACCAGAGATAATTCTGTTCTTGATCTTGTTTTTCTAACCCATAGTATCGCAAACCTAGGTTATGACTGCGAGGCGGTCGAGGGAATTTCTGATCACAAAGCTGTCCTTGTCAGCCTTAACATTCGTGTCAAGCGTTCGAACCCTGAATTCGTCACGTTCCTTGATTTCAACACAGCTGACGATGTGTCAATTATTGATGAACTTAGTTTTTATTTTGATGATTTTTGTGCCATAAGTCTAGACGCTGATGTCAATACGTTGCTTAGATATTTCAACTCCCTTATAGAAAAATGCATCAACAAATTTGTACCTGTTACTAGAAAGAAAAAGAACCCTGCGCACCCCTGGATTACGAGAGAGGTGCTGCAGTTGATGCGGCAAACGAAGAGGAGACGTCGTTCAACGAAAGATAACACAGAATCAGTTGTTCATACCTCGTTTGAATATCTGAAAACAACCTTGAAAGAAAAGATGTTAACAGCTAAAACCAAATATTTTAATGTAACTTTGTCTGAATTTATGAAATCAAATCCTGCCAAATTTTGGAGATCTATTATTCCAAGATGTAGTGTATCACAGAGTTTTACTATTGAAGGTGAATCTGTAAGTGAGCCGACAAAGATAGCGAACTGTTTCAATGATTATTTTAAATCTGTATTCAGTCGTGACAACGGCAATGATTCAGAGTTTTTCTTTGAAGGCATATACCCAGCTTTATCTGATTTAGAGATTAGTGTTTCTGGTGTCCTCAATCTACTAATGAAACTTGACTGTAAGAAAAGCCCTGGCCCTGATGGAATTCCAAATTCTTTTCTTCGCCGTTATTCACTTTGGAGTTCAAAATACCTATCTGTCATTTTCAAAAAATCTATTTCTACTGCAACAGTGCCTCAGTCATGGAAGTCGGCTAAAATTATCCCCTTGTTCAAGTCAGGCAACAAACAGGTGGTCACAAATTACAGACCCATTTCGCTCACATCGTCTTCATGCAAACTTTTGGAACATATTGTCTATAAACAGATATCTGAGTACCTCGAGACTAATTTTATTCTTTGCCCTCAACAGCATGGTTTTCGTCGTGGTTACTCCACCTCAACCCAACTTCTTGAATTCACTCACGACATAGCTTTAGCTTTAGATAAAAGAGTACAACTTGATGCCATCTTTGTAGATTATTCTAAGGCTTTTGATAAGGTACCACATCATAAGCTTCTTCAGAAATTACAAGCGATATTAAATAATACGTCATTAGTTAATTGGATCGAAGATTACCTAAAAAATAGATCACAGTTTGTTTCATACAGGGATGTTCATTCTAGCAATGTCTCAGTTAGTTCCGGTGTCCCACAGGGATCAGTTTTAGGTCCTCTTTTGTTTTTACTTTATATTAATGACGTTGCAAATGGTCTTCAAGTTAAAATTCGCCTCTATGCAGATGATTGCGTTTTGTACAACGAAATCAACTCGGTAGATGACCATGCCTTACTAAATGACTCTCTTGAACAGTTTTTGAATTGGAGTAAAAAGTGGCAGATGGAAATTAATTTTGAGAAATCTGTAGTTATGTCATTTACTAATAAGAAGGAACCGTCTGTTTTTAGCTATGGTACTCGTAATATAATTCTGCGTCAAGTTCACGAATACAAGTATTTGGGTATTTTTTTCACGCCTAGTCTCAAATGGGATAAGCACATCAGTTCTATTTGTTCTCGTGCTCTGCAAAGGCTAGGATACGTCAAGAGAACTTTAAAATCTTCAACTAGGGAAGTTAAAATAACGGCGTACAAGACCTTGATTAGACCTATCTTAGAGTACGGTTGTGTGGTGTGGGATCCCTATCTAAAAGGTGATATTAAGCAGATTGACGCAATACAATCAAAGGCAGCTAGATTTATTTGTAATAGATATGACCGCAATTTTTCTCCTACATCTGCCATGACTGACATAGGACTTACGCCTCTTGATTCTAGACGCGCTGTAGAACGGCTCAAGCTTCTGCATAAAATAGTGAATAATAACTGTACACTTAATCGAGAAAAATATGTTAGTTTTGTTACTGAATCACGCACTAGAAGCTTCCATCCATTAAATCTTGTACCATACAGAGCCCACCTTAACTGTTTTAAATATTCTTTTTTTCCTAGAACGATAGAAAACTGGAATAACATAAATGGATCCATTCGTTGTCTCGATTTTGATAAGTTTGTGTTAGAAATACAGTAGGTGTTCTGGTATGTTGCCTGGAATCTGTACTTGAAGTGTATGTGATTGTTTTTGTAATCTTTTGATATTGCATTTTTCAAGGTTTTCTAAGTTTTGTTTGTAGGGTGTGTACATCTTTAATCGATTGTCTTTTTGAATGTATATGTATGTTTTCTCTCCACTCCTGCGATGACCTCACCGAGGTCGCAGTATTTTGAAATAAATAAATAAATAAATAAATAAATAAATAAATACGTTTGTGATTTCTTTGATCATGGTAGCTTTGTGGTAGTAAACTTTCACCTAAGGAGAGTGAGTTATAAAGCGCGAAATATTCTATACCTAAAACCTATTTTCAAGATCCTCAATTTAAAATCATGAAGTCAGCTGAGGCTTGAAGTTCAAATTGGTTGGCATGAACGGAGTACCATTTACGACGGAAAACCACGGTCGGAAAATGCAACGCACGAATAGGAAAACTCTAATGAACGCATTTTGGAAGCCAGGCCTCCAGCACCCTCTACGCTTTGCCATAACTTAGAAAGCGGTGAAGACTGTGGCCGCATTTAGCTAATCAGAGTGTCAGAGCGATCAGCCTGACAAATGTTTGTCATCGAGACTTAGCTCTGAGCAGTGCTCTTACGTGTTTCTCTACATGCCTCCTTTTCACTCCAAGTGATCGTCGATATTGCTCATGGCCCCATAATGAAACAAAAGAAGTTCGGTGGGCTAACAAAATGCGAGGTCGGAGGAGGATGGTCAAAACTGCTAAGTTTCTTCTCAAGGACAGGAAGCTTAGCTGCTGTGTCTGTGCTTCTCAGACTAAAAGTACATATGATTCCGGCTTTTATTCTTGTTTTTTGACGTCGGTTTCGAAGGCGTCAGTGTACCCAAATATAGCACAGGCATAGCCGATTCACAAACCACATTCAAGTTACTCAGCAAGAAACGACGGCGCATACGATTTGTCAGAATGGCGTCGGCGCTACCCATTCAAAAACCAGATGTATGTAATGTATTCGGTTGAATCGAAAGGGGGGGGGGGGGGGGGGGATCGACAGGATCTTTCCCATCGGTCACTAATATTCCTGAATTGCTTATATGATTACCTGCGAATAAAAATGACATTGGCTATCTTGATATTTCACCCATTCGGGATAAATATTCCGTAAGCTTTACGCTTAGGGCAACAGAAATTTTAGTTTTAAGCACCTTCTGATGAATGTTAAGCATACGTTGTGCTGTACAGATTATTTTGAAGGAACAATAGAGTTCCAGTTTAACACTTGCTGATTAGAAAATATAAAAAGGGAATTGCGCCATTCACGTTTGGAGTGGAAATTTTGCTTACTTCTTAAATTCCCACTATATTTAAATCATGATTCCTAAAAAAAGGAGTTGGGCCATTAAAAATAAATCCCGACCCTTCATTGCACTGCTCTCCTGGTTCCCTTTTACTTCCATATAAATTTTTATTTTTATTTCTACCTTCGCAATTATACGCTTAGAATAAGACACAAAGGTTTTTTATATATTTTTTTCTCTTGTCTTTTTTATAGATTTTGGGGGGTGTTCATTTGTTTTGTCCCGTCTGCATGCAGAGAACAGGAGAGCACCCGAAAAACTATATGATGAGCACAAGAAGTGTCCTGCATCTACTGCACACTCTCATTAAGGCAACCGGGGCCAAGCGATTTCTTGATATAGGTGAGTAATATTTGTGACGAGTCAATCTGAGCTCACTAGTTACCAAATACTGAATGATGGTAGACCTAGCCGAGACCCATATATCGCCACTACAATTTCTGTTCGAATGTCTACTTTCCTCTATTCACTTCAGTCTTCTTTGCGAGTTCATTTTGTGTATCTCCAAGACAGTTCGTGCTGTCCATTTGCCTAAAATACTCGAGCCATATAGCACAAAGGTCATAAAAAGGGTTCATTTAATTCTACACCAAATATAAAGCTACCTTACCGCCATTCTCATGTATGACAGTGAATGTAGTCTTACCGACTCGAGAAAATAAATTCAAATATAAATTATTATAATACAATTAAATGCAAAGGAGCAAGCGAGTTGGACAACAATGATGAGAATAATCCCTGGAGAAGTGGAACAAGAGGGGCAAAGGACAAACACAAAACTCCAAACGCAGCTAGGTGACTGGTGTGCGACCGAAAAAATCCGCCTGGTCCGGGTAACGAACCCGGGACCTCTCCATTACAGGTGGAGTGGTCTACCAGCTGAGCGAACCAGGGGTTAGACGTCAGTAGAGGAAACGGGTTTTATCAGCCGCCACCAGTCTAACACCAGCAGGGGTGAAGCTTGCGATTTAAGGTTAGATTATAATGCAATTAAATGCAAAGGTGCAAGCGAGCTGCACAGGAATGATGAAAATAAACCCTGGAGAAGGGGAGCAAGAGGGACAAAGGACAAACACAAAACTCCAAACACAGCTAGGTGACTGGTGTGCGACCGAAAAATCCGCCTGGTCCGGGTCAGGCGGATTTTTTCGGCCGCACACCAGTCACCTAGCTGTGTTTGGAGTTTTGTGTTTGTCCTTTGTCCCTTTTGTTCCGCTTATCCAGGGTTTATTTTCATCACTAATATAAATGTTTTTATTTCTCAGATAACAATTTAGAGTCCTAACTTAGGACCTCGTTTCATGGTTTGTGGCTTACCAGTATTAATAGATCTGAATCATATCATTTTCCCCTGTTTCACAAGCGTTGAATACGAAATTTAGGCTTGAAGCTAACGAAAGTAAATACTGCCCTTCCATCTTCTGTTTGAAAGCATTCTTTCAAATTCAAACTTATAGCCGTGCCTTGAGATTACTTCACGGCGGCGAAACTTAAAATGGTTATTTACCTAGAAGAAAAAAACTGTTTAGGGACGGCACAACTGCTTCCTCTTATAGTTTAACTGTGGTTTGAAGGAGTTGCGTATGACGCAAAATATTCAACGCCTTAATGTTTCAATGTTAGTGCATCGAATTTTGAAGAGCAGAATTTAATAGATGTATGCATAATTATATTATTACGCAACAACATCTACGGTGTTCAGCCGATGTCAGATTGTTAATGTGATCATTCAGCACGATATATATATATATTTTTATACGGTTAGTTATGTTGGAGTCCGCCTACACTGGGTAGTGCGAGATGAAGTTTGACACTGTAGAAGTAAACAAGAAAAACCAATATCGATAAGCTCAGCGGAAATATCTTTTTTCTTATAAATATAATTTTTGGTTTTAATGTTCCCTGGCATAATGGCATAAAACATAAATATTGACTCACTTCAAAAGCCCCAACGATCACCGTGGCATGTGTATTTCAGCAGTTTCTAGACTTAAGGCGGTAATAAAATAGTTAAATAATAGAGGACAAGTGGAACGTGAATAATCTAGATTGCGCGATAATCTACCTCTCGTCCTAATGGTATTTGGCTAAGTGCCATTTGAAACACTCACCTTTCGGGGTGCAGTAGATGCCCGAGTGACAGGGGCATTCATACATTAGGGCGACCTAATGTTTAGGGCTATGTGGTTCATGACACACTAGATGCAGCCGTAGCAATACCAGTGTGGTAAAGTAAACACATTTGTACCTACATTTAAGTGTTTCAAATTTTGACTAAGGCCATCTTACTTGCCCCATAGGTCAAATGTGCCTTTGCATCAACGCCTGAGTAATTTTTTCTTCACACCCTCGAAATGTGCTCTTGCGATCGCTGGTCATAAATAATTGTGTTGCACACATTTGTTGCCACCGTCGTGCAAGCATAGCTCCGGCCTGCCGAAAATTAACAAATGCGACAAGGTCAGGCTACAACCTCTCAGTTCCTAGTACATTTCGTATACGCGGGTCTTTCAACTGTCTGTGATTGCTGGCAGGTGTGTTGAATAAGCGCGAAATACCCACGCAGCCAGCGAAAAGTTATCTATGGCTCTGGAGTGAAAAAGAAATAGTTGAACAAAAGCAAACTTTTGCACAGCACTCACCGACACGCACTGCCAGGTTCAAAGTTTCCGAGATGACGTTCTTTCAAAAGTGCTGAAAATGTCAAGTCAAGCTTGATCACTGCTCTTGCCCTTGTGATGAAAACAAGTTTCTTTTTTTTACAAAAAGCAAACAACGCTGTTTTGTAAAGCGTAGATATATATATATATATATATATATATATATATATATATATATATATATATATATATTATATATTGCGTACACTTGTAATGAATACATATATATATTTATATATATATATATATAGATATATTCATCAGAAGTGTACGCAATATTAATATCATCTAGCCCTCATAGCTAAGAAAGCGACATCGCAACTTGGTGCTTCATAATTAGCGCCAAATTAGTCTTCAAATATATATATTGAATATTCGCAGCTTAGTGTGTATTTATTTTTATATGATGTACATAACTACTTAATAATAACTTGTACACAGTCGAAGAGTAGCAATTAGTTTATCAAATGCATGGATCGGGACAACGATCGGTGGAGATTGCAGCCAGGGCTTACGAATTCCGCCGTGAGTTTCCTCACGTGGAGAAAACTCACGACGAACGACAAGCTGTGCAAAATTCACTAAAGCCCATGAACGTATGACGAATCACGAATTCCGAAGTGTCTTAAACATGAAACAACACATTTGTAAAGGCATTCACATATATGTTGCTGTTCTTTTTTTTTTCTTCTAGTATCAGACTCTCACCAGAGCTTAGGGTATTTTGTGTTGTGCGTGTGTGAAAGTGACACTTAGAAAATACTAAAACTACACTGTACTCTAAACACGTGGAATAGCCTTCTCACAGACAGATTTTGTGCGGTTAGAACCGCTGGATGAGCGCAGCCTTTGGGATTTCCCCTTTGAATTTTGAGGGGTGGTTACCGCCTTCTACCGTCGTAGACACCCATCGACACAGCGGAAAGAGCCGTGTTTTCACTCTGGGTTAAACCAGCATCTCGCTGCGCCGGCGGCAGCCTTGTCCACTGGTGCACTGCAAAAGCCTAACCTTGCGGACAGCGCAATGCGCAGGCGTTCTTCCTGACGCCGGGTGGCCCCCATCGCTAGTGAGGGATTTTGCCCTGTACGCCAGCTGTGTAATGGAGATGAGCGCAGTCAAATTCATTCTCCTCGTTCAACTTTTATATTTAGCATTATTTTCATCTCGACTTGCGTTATCATCCTAATCGTTTTATTCAGCGCTGTTATCATTTTATCTTTCGTTTCGCTGTGCCCCTTACGCCAGTGCAGAATAGTGAGCTAGGACTAAACTCAAGGTTAACTTCCGTGTCTGTCTGTTGTTAAAAACAATCAATCGAGGGACTTTCATAACATTTTACATTGCTATGAGTTGATCATATTCACGAGTCGTATAATCCCAGCCGTCATGCTTCTTTCTTCCACGTCCTTAATTTCCCAGGTGTTTTCACTGGATGCAGCTCTCTTGCGGCTGCGCTAGCATTGCCGGAAGATGGTCACGTGGTTGGACTGGACATTTCCATGGAATTCCCTGAAATTGGAATGCCGTTCTGGAAAAAGGTACTGGTGTGACCCATACTTATACATTTAGCTAATACAAGAGTGCATAACATAGAGAGTCCACCGTGTTTAGGAACAAAACCGGTAAAATCTGCATCTTGCACATATCGGGAAAACGTAAACTTTCAACATGGCGACGAGAAACAAAAATGTATGCATTTTAATCCTCCAAATACGGTTAGAGACGCACAATGTGCTGCGCACTTTGGGCGGCGCTAGGCTAACATGACAGAATTCCGGTGTTACGTGACACCGTGACGTTACATAAGGTCATGTTGTGATGTGAGATCACGATATCACTTCATGATGTCACGTGACGACTGTCATGCTGATGACGTCATAAAAACACCGAAGGCTGACATGACACCCTGCACAAGGTGTTAACTCTTATCGAGGCTCTACAAATTTGTTAAAAAAACATCGTGATAGCTTCACTGGTCTTTTATATGCAGGAAGTTATACGTCCATGGGGACTTAATAATCGACAAAATTCCCGATCGGTTAAAAATTAAAATAAAAGTGTTAATTGAATACTTGATTCGTGAAAATAAATATATATTTTCAATTTGAACTCCAGTGAGCGTCATCAAAAACCACAAGATAATTCACAATTTACACCATTGCAAGCGTCTGAGAAGCGTGGTAATGCGCTAAAGTCACCACTTTCGCAACAGTCGCAAAGCTGGTGGCTCAAAAACGCGGATGGAAACACCATCGCGAGCTGTCATCCGCATTTCCGCGCCGCCAACCTTCATGCTTTTGGATGAGGGCTAAATTTAGAGCACCACCGCGCAACCGATGCGGTCCATACCTTTCCCAAATTTATTAATTTAAAGGTTTTCGATCATGAGCAACAAGTTTCAAACTGGAACTGTTTGATCATTTTCAAAAATTATAAAATCATTAAACAAATGTTAATTATTTGTTGGACTTACCACGGCGATTACCCCCTATTTGATGTTTCCTTGGCCGTATAAGTAATAACTCACCTGCACAAATGGCGTTCGTGTAGCTTTCACGACGTTTTAGACCAAATCTGTGAATCATAAGAAACAACATCCTACATGTATCCTATAGGTATATGCTACGCTCACATGGTGACATAACATTCTACACCAGCTCAATTGTCCCACAAAGTTTAGCGCTGAGGCTGCTCTCTACGTGTTGCACAGCGGTTACACATTTCCCTTTCACTTGTTGCACTTCCTTTACACTTCTTCTAAACCATAGTATATTTTGTTTAGAAATCTCTAGCATTATATAGGACATGTGCAAAAAAAAAAGCGAACCTGAGAAGCTTCAAGTTTGTGTCCAGTCGCGGTATTGTAATATGAATACGTACAAAACTCGCCCAGTTATCCACTCTCTTAAATGATAACTGCAATGAAAAAAAAAAACGTTTTTTAAACAGCCTAGTTGGGGCAAGCATGTGATGAAACAAATCTTCCGCATAAAAGCAAATTTTTTCTAGCAATATTTACACCACAGGACGTAATTTCGTCGGGGTAACAGCTTCTCCACATTTGAAACTCCCGCTCTTTCAACGCGAGCGGAGTGGCTGTTAAACGCCACTCCTTGACGTATAGCAGCTAGTATGTGACGTTTAATACCAACTTCGTGGCACGCGATTTGAAACGGACGAAATAGCCGCAAACTAAAATCAGTCTCGCGCGATAAATATTGCTATAAAACTTTTTGTTTTTGGCGGAAAAATTGTTTTGTGACTTGCTTGTCCCAATTAGGCTGTTTAAAAATACATCTTATTTTTTTTGCAGTTACCCTTTAAAGTATGCATTCATCACATGATATTTTGTTTAGCGATTTTGCACCCAGTGGGCAGGCGAGTTGGTGGAAATTTACCATGCTGATTTGAACCCGCGACTAAGGCAGAAGAACAATTTTTTTTTACGCTGGAAGAAAAAGTTTGTCCCTCTTAGTTTTTCCTCTAATGTAAAACATTCTTACTCCTCCTGCCACTGTCACGGTTTAAAATATTCCCGGTTATTTTGTTTAACCTCGACTCAGAGCTCAGCCTAAGCTGCGCGGAAGTATGTCCGATCATGTAACTAAAAAAACGAAACACCACATAGATCTTAGTATTTCCGGCTGATAAGTAGAACTTCCACTGAAGAGTTGTAACAGATATCTACTCGTTGATTTCATAGATTGAGCACTAGATTTGTTTTTGCACAAAAAATTTAGCAAAAACAGGAAGCAGGGACACAGAAGGAATATATATATCTTAATGTCCTCGGTGCCAATTATTGCTACGTCTTTACTGTTTATGTAAACATTATATTTTGAATAACTTTTTCACCATGTTTTTTTTTGTTTTTTTTCTTTTTTTATAGGCTGCAGTCGATCACAAGATAGATGTTCGCGTCGCTCCGGCGAGTGAATCTCTTGGTAAGCGGAGAACCAATATTATTGAATTATTCGTAGCCCAGATTTAAAAACTCATTCAGAATTATGAGCTAAATGAAAAATATGTTCTTACCATAAGTATAGATCAGAAATGAATTGTCCTTTAAATTGATGATCCTATAATATAAATAATACGATGCTTCTCACAAAAAAAAAAAATCAAGAACCCAAAAGTGCAGAGCACGACAAAACGTTGCGTGTATATTTTAACCGCTTTTAAATTAGTAGTTTCTATCATTTTTTGTAAATTAAATTTTAAAAAAAACGAGAAAATTCCTCAGTAAGTACATTTAATCGGTGCATATGTTTTAGAATTTGTTAACAAAATTTATTATTACTTTTATAGGCCTCTTTTTAATTCGCAGCCTGTTCAGGTTAAAAAAAAAAAAAAAAGAACAAAAAAGCTTTGGCTTAACAATTGTTTTGTGCTCTCCACTTTTTCCGTGTGTGTCTTGGACACAACGTAGCGTGCAAATCTATGCCGTGGTAACGGTCCCCCGAGTAAAACGAAGATCGGGAGCAGACACATACCATTTCAGAGAAATTAAATTCCTATTTTTTTAATGATCCCATTCTACGGTGTAATTTGCTGCTATCGCATTCAAGAAACTGGTCAATCCGATAATTTTATAGCAAACTACGGATTTGCATTTTTGTTCATTTCTTCTTTTTTTTTTCTCTCACTAATAATCTTACCGTAGATTGGTTTCACGGACGCACTCCTTACTTGAAATCTCGAAAGAGTCCTTCCTGACAAGCCATGATACTGTTTATCTGCCAGTTGAGGCAATACCGTTTAGCTCAATCACGTAGTTTATGTCTTCGATCCGTTGTGCAAGCCGGTTTGACCAGCGGCTCAAAGAGGCATCAATTGGCCCACAACTTTTGTGCGGAGGAATTGTTTTGTTGTTGTTTTCATTTCCCGCGTTTTTCTTTTTTTTTTTTTTTTACCTTTTTATCAATTCGCCAGCCGGGGTTGCTAGTCACAAAATGACGAAAGGAAGCATCTCTATGATAACCGCCGTTAATGCACTGTTTTACGGGAGCGTTTTCGTGCGTTTTACGGTAGCCACGGAATGGCTCCTGGCGCACGCTTAACGGCATGCTTCAAAGTCACAGCATGAGCTCACGGTAGAAATGCCGCACCGCAACGCTAAGCAAAACTGCCTAATCTGAGTGACGACATGCTGGCGCTTGTGCAAGAAGGAGGCTTTTCGTATGGGCGAAATGGCCCGGCTTGTACGCTGTGCTAATCCTAAGGAGAAAAAGCGGAGTATGAAACGGCGAGCCACATACCCGTGTAAGCTTGCTCCCCTACACGACGTCCACAGCAGTCAAAGGAGGCCCGAAAATTGTCAGAGAGAGTTTTCTACAATTCACGTCAGAATAGTTCTATTTCCGTGCCAAGCTTCAGGAGTTACGTCATCTGATGACTTCCCCATTTCTCCAAAAGATCGTAGTCTCGTTGCACAATTAAAGTTGGCCAGATTAGTAGGATGATGCTCAACTTATTCATGTAGACTATTTATAAGAAAAAATGAAAGCATCGCTCAATGGACCCAGCGAGCGGTCCATTCGCAGAATCTTGTGTCTCCCGTTCTTTTTTCTTTATGAATCTTTCTCGTGTCGACCTAATGTGTTTTTGCCTCGGTAGCACGACTTCTATAAAAGCGAAGACTTCTGAAACTAACAACTTGCATTTAATTGTCTAATAAATTCGGCTTACAAAAACACTGCATTGGTGGCTGTCCAAGAAAGGTTCAACTAATGACGTGTTGTCATACCGCAAAAAATCCCATGCAACTACACAAAACACGCCCTCGTTTGTTTGTTGTTGTTTTGTTTGTTTTTTTCTATTGAAAATTTTGCAATCACGCGGTTGTTAAAGAAATCGTTTAAATCATGGCTCTGGCAACGTCGCCCTCGACGGGCGTCTCGTCTTGGAGGTGTGGACAGTGCGTTTCGCGAAAATGGCCGTGTCTTGCTGCAGAGTTTAAGATTATAATCTGTCACAGGTTAATGGGGCACTCGAGTGTTTTTTAAGTTCGTGTTTTGATGATGACAACGGAATCTCGACGCCCTAAGTATCCCTAAAAACCAAAAAAAATAGTCTTAAGTTGATTATTTCTTTAATAGAAATGCAATTGAAGGCCGCCAAACCTCGGATCCATCCGAAAACGAAACCACTTTCATTGTTCACCGATGGCATATCAAAACGATCTCGGGCCAAGGCCGTTGATCGACGTTGCGTCGCGCAGTGATTCTGAGGTAGCCGCACCGGCCGAATTTCTTTGTCATTCGAGCTTCGATCGTGGCGGAGTTCACTACGTTAGAGGACCTGACACCGTTAGAGGTTGAGATTCTTCGGCGGACAGCCGACCTGGGAAGGATTTCCTATGACGCCATCCGACGTGCGATGTAGACGATAGCAGCGCCCCGGAGTCGTGTTCGAGTTCCGAGAACTACAAAGCGGAAACCTTTTCGGGCGCTCTTCGATTTGCGGTTGCGGCAAGTCGTAACCAATCCAACATTTGACATCGCAGCGTAACCTCTGGTACGTGATGTCAATCGATGTCGCCACGTTGACTTTCGCCTCGGGAGGACGGCGGCCTGGTTCACACATGTGCAACGAGCGCCTTACTTACGACTGCGTCCGTTGCAACCGGAGCGACCGGAACGACCGCTCTGCGCCGCGCGTACACACACCTGCAACCACTGCAAGAAGCGCAGCGGATCGTCAGCACGGCAACCGGTTCTACGCCGCCGTTAGCTCTTTCAGCGGCGCCTCCGAAAAGGGGACGCACTGTTACTCAATGCCGTAACAGAATTTAGACAGACAGTGTTTTCTATAGCCTAGAGCTTTATTCTTTTTTTTTTTATGATGGGCTTGCAGGGTGCAGTAGATGAAAAAAAAATGAAAGAAAAAGATTCAGTACGCCGTCCTGGACGGTCACGACTCTAACATACGACTTTGCCAATAGTACACATATCGCCACATGCCTTTTCTCCGATTACGAAAGACGATGTAATCTTAGCAGCAATATAGCAACGTAGAAATATAATTTCGTGATCAGATAGACGTTGCGAGTGTTCAGGATCGCTAACACTGATCACTTTTCTCGGGTGATGAAAACGCGTGAAAATTTGCATCCTTTATACGGTACGCTCCAGTACCTTGAACTTGAGCACACGCATGAAATGCGCCTATAAGAAATCCGGGCGATGTTCAAGCAAACAAATGCTTAGAAAGCACCTCCGTAGTCGAAGTGACCAAACGCGATGGCACGGGTGTTTCTGCTGTCTTGAGAGTGTCGCCACGACATCGCCGGACGAGTAGGTGGATCTTCCCTTTTAGTAAGTGCTAGGTTATCATAGCGACACACGACGAACATTCACAGTCAAGGATAGCGCTTTTACGCGGAACGATGCGCTTTCACCACATCGTCCGCGTCGACGATCACCACCGACGCCATGTTTGCAGATAGAAGAAGCCGGCCCGCGACCGGCACGACCGGCATGCTTCGCGCGCAACCAGTTCTCCTCAACCTGTGATTCGTCAGTCGCTGCGGTTCTTTAGGTTGTTTCCAACGCAGCGGGTAAAGCTGGCTCGCTCCAACTCCTTGCATTGTGAACGCATGCGTGCGTCCCTCTGTCGCTATGGCAACTGACGGTTGCAGAACCTTGCAACGGCCGTTTCGGTTGTTCCAGTCGTTGCGGTCGCTACGGACACATGTGTGCGAACGGGCCTTGACACGAATGCAATTCCCAAAAACCCGGAGAGAAAGATTACATGATACGTGCGCTTCCGCGCATCCCGAGGGAACGGGAAATTCACCCCCCGTAGAGGATGGCAGGAGAAAAAGTAGTCCCTTGTTTGTGAAACGATAATTGCAGTATCCCGTATTGTAAGCTAGAACTATTTTACGTTTTGTAAAATTATCATGCACAACATATATAAATGAACTGAAAATTGTTTCTTTGGCGAAACATTACAAAGGCCGCCAAAATTTTCAAACATACGATAATTTCATTGGTCGGCCAGGAACAGAAAAAAGTCGGCACATATTTTATTCCTGCATGATTAATAGGCAGTTCTGCCTTCTAAAAGTGAATATGCTCATTCACTGACACTTCCTTAACGCCATCGCACGAAAAAGTAGCTTCCCCAAAAACCACTAGAGTGCCCCTTTAAGAAAGGTTTTCGAGGGATAGGAAGTGCTGGAGAGGAGAAAGCAGACGGAACGCCTCTTTAGCGTTCCGTCTGCTTCCTCTGTCCCTGCCCTCTTTTCCCTCACCATCTTTTCTTAACCTGTAACCAATCATAGGAGCCCCCAACAGTTCCATAGGATATCGTTGAAAATCACTAAACATGCGTCGAATTCGTTCGAAGAAGACTAAGAAGCTCATGACAGATTCCTTTTATATCAATCCTCGGGTGTTCGAAGATCAATTTCCAGTCCCGAAGTTCGTACGTGCCAGATGCTTGGTAGTGTAGAGCTTCGCGCGTAAGACTTCTAAATTTTACAACCGTTTTTATTTGTGCTAGCCACTCCTCGTTCCGCGTGCAATTGCTGGCGAATAAGGACGGTAGGTCTTTGTTTCTTGTGCTGTTTTTTTTCATCCGAACTTTGCGGTTTTGTTTTTTGGTCGTGTGAACATTACGAATAAAGCTCTTGCTGATCGTATTCAATTTCAAGTTTGCCACTGTGACAGTTAGTCGGCACTGTTCGATTCGATTTTAAATGAAGTTGAAATATCACAATTTTCTAGTAATTATGTTATATTATAGCTACTGACAGCTTAAGAACTGGAGGTCTTGGCGTATTATGTTCGCACCTTCTGCTTCATTATTTCTTCTCCTGGTTTGGCACCTGCTTATTCCGCATTATGGGTCACTAATGAGATGTAATAATGTGGTCTGTACTGGGCACACCCTGCCTTTCAAGTTGTAGTTGCGAATAGCTTGCTCACGTCTTTTCCCGCTCAAGCAATGTTTCTAATCGATACTCAAATCGTGATTTTTTTTTCAGATTTGATGATTAAGAATGGCGAAACGTTTGATATAATTTTTATTGATGCCGACAAACCAGGTTGTTCAGGCTATTTCAAGAAATCTTTGAAGGTTCTAAAAAAGAACGGAATTGTTGCCGTCGACAACGTGAGTATGAGTTTGCACTATAAATTGCGCGTTCTAAGATCACAACGAGATAATAAATAAATGCGCGCAGTGGTTTTAGAGAAGAGACCGCTGACGTTCACATAATTCACATGACAAGGTATGTTCCAGCAGGAATGTCGCTCATAAATGAGCGAAATTATAAGTACTTAGAGATTTCAACTGATGTTTAGTTATTGAAACAAGTATTTTATTTCTAATGTTTGGCAGTCATCAAGAAAATAAACCAGGTGCAATAATACCTATTAACGAGTTTTGTGTCTGCATCAAGGCACTGGTTTTTTTTTAGCTTCAGTTGAGTTTTTAAGAACTTCGCTTCGTGGGCCGGAGACACATGTAACAATCAACTAAATGTGTTAATTTTACCAAGTCTGAAGAAAGCCCCGTGTCCGGCTGCCATAAACAGAGTTTTATTTCTTAAGTTTTGAATTGACACACAAGGTTTCATTCTATTATATTCAGGTATAGTATTGAATATTTTGATCGTTTCTTCCAAATGCTATCGAGTTTTGTATTTAATTATTTACCCGTCGAAAATAAACCCTAAAACAACAATTTGCCGCATTGTGAGATGCGTAAGGTTGCGGACTGTACACCTTTTCAGGCATAAAGTCCCAAACTAAGAGAAAATGCTCTGTAAATTGTTTCCAGAACAATACACAACATTTGAGCTTATAAACAAAGAAGTGGTGAAACTGTGACTTGAGCATGCATTCAACTGGCGATATTAAGCGCATTTACTGTGCGTTTTTCTTTTCTTGATTTAGGTACTATTTCACGGACAAGTGTTGGACTTGGACAACAACGAACCAGTACCAGCTTCAATGAGGATAGTTAACGACATTATTTACAAAGATGACGCTGTTTTTGCAAGCATGCTAACAGTCGGTGATGGTCTTACCTTAGCATTGAAGAAGTGATTGAGTATTTTTTCAACGTCATTTTGTAACGCAGAACACATGATACTCTCTGCATCTTTAATAAAAATATTACACAATCATAATCTTTTGTCAAAACGACTGCTTACTGGTGCAACACAAAGAGCAAGAAACTGATTTTGTACTTTATAGGTGCAGCAAAAACACCGGGCAAAACACCCGAACGGCCTCGAGAAAGCTTTCCTGTATTGTAAAAATTTAATAAAGAGCGTAGAAGCATAAATAAGACTTGAAATACGCCTTGTCTTCTAACTACAGTTCAAGCTTGTAGCATGGGGACACAGCAAAGAGATGGCGAATGAAATAAAAGTTAGTGCACATCGGTTCCCCCTTCAGCTGTTTCAGGGATGTAATGTCAATGAAAGTGTCAAGGAAGGCGTTGAACAAACACGGAACCTAGTAATCTCGAGTGCATTTACCATACCTGGTCGAACAAATTTGCACTACAAAGCGAGGAACGCGACGAAGTAATCAAGGGTGCTCAAATGGTATTTTAAAGTCAGTTTTCTTCAAAAGATATGGAGCACTGCCGTTTACATAAAAAGAGAATGGAGATTAGGTAACTAAAGACATCGAAAACAATCATTGTTGCTGGAGAAATTAGAATTATACGGATGGGCTTGTCAGGATTCCTTTCAATGAAGAATTAACTTTGGGCAGCAAGCGACCTGAACATTCTTCAAACATTGTAACACTGTATCGAAGGATACTCTAAGCAAGCCCATGGACCATTATTATTCTGGTACCGATTGCCGTAAGAACTTGTGTAATAAAGCATACAAGACACAATTTGTAATTTTCTACAAATATATGATACATGTGTGTTCCAAGACATATAAAAATCGAAATGTGCACCTAAATATTTCACGTGATCAACAGACTCGATGGATACACAGTTACACTAAGTACATCTGGATGGGTGAATCAAAAACATTACTTTAGCCCTGCGTCTTTTAAGAGGGTTGCGAAAACAAACCTGCTTTGTTTTAAACCGCTTTATGTCTAGGAGGTTACCACCAAAGCAATCTATTATAGAAGTGGCGATTATTTAGAGTGTGTGGAGTGAATGCGAGAAATTAATATGACATGAAAAAAGAAGAGTAACATCAGCATATCGGTAAAGTTTACACTTGTTGTTAACCCGGTCCATCCCAAGCTATATTGATGTGTTGTAGATATGTTAGAAAAGTGTTCATAATTTTTTTTTTATGGGAGATTTTGCGCAAGGGTCCCCAAGATGTTTCGGATACAACAGTCACGCAGCGTTACGCTACTGTTTCAAACCCCATGCTGCGTGGGGAACTGTGTATCAAAAGTCGGGAGAGGACTCAATCTAGAACGTTTTCTAGGCGGCATAATATAAATGTTGAGCAACCACAGCGGAGGACATGTTTTCTTTATGCGATGCGGCATCGCTGTAGTAGAGACACAAAAATCGCGACTTTGTGTACTAAGCTGTCGCTCCTGACGGGAAATAGATCGTGAGGACAAAGCCTTAGTTTTAGGCTACTGTTTCAAATTCCTTGCTGCCTGGGAAACTGCCTAATGATAGTCGGAAAAAGGCCAAGGTGGAACCATTTAAATGTTGAGCAACTGCAGCCCGGGACATGTTTCTTATGCAACGCGGTATCAGTGTAGTAAAGACTCAAAAATTGCAACTTTGTGTAGTAAACATATTAAAATTTGTTTTTCACACAACATAGACCGACACGACAAAACACTACGTTACGCGGATCCTTGGAAATTTATGCTGCCTAGGAAACCCTGTATTAAAGGTCGGGAAAAGGCTGAAGGTAGAACGTTTGCAAGCCGACATAATTTCAATGTTGTGCAACTGTAGCGCGCAGCATGCTTTTTATTCAACGTGGTATCAGTGTAGTACAGAGTCAAAATTCAAAACGCTGCAGAGTGAACTCTTTCCAATTTGTTTATGACGCCATATTCATCAACACGACAAAGACACGGCGTTGCGCTAGCGTTTCGAACTTCATGCTGCCTAGGAAACCGTGTATTAAAAGTCGGGAAAAGGCTTAAGGCAGAAATTTTGCTAGGCAGCATAATTTAAATATTGTGCAACTGCAGCGTGCGGCACGTTTCTTATGCAACATGGTATCAGTGTAGTGCAGATTCAAAAATCAAAACGTTGCGTAGTGAACTGTCTCTAATTGTTTTACGACGCAACATTGATCGACACGACAAAGACACAGTGTTACGCTAGAGCTTCGAACTCTATGCTGCCTAAGAAACCGTGTACTAAAAGTCGGGAAAAGGTTGGAAATACAACGTTTGCTAGGCGGTATAATTTTAATGTTATGCAACGGTAGCGCACGACATGTTTCTTATGCAACGTGCTATCACTGTAGTACAGGTAGTACAGACCCAAACATCGCAACGTTGTGTACTGAACTGTCTCCAATTTGTTTCTGACGCAACATTAATCGGCACGACAAAGGCACGGCGTTAGGCTACTGTTTTGAATTCCATGCTGCCTAGGAAACCGTGAACTAAAAGTCGGAAAGAGGTTGAAGGTACAACGTTTGATAGGCGGCATAATTTAAATGTTCTGCAACTGCAGCGCACGACATGTTTATTATGCAACGCGGTATCACTGTAGTACAGACCCAAACATCACAACGTTGTGTAGTGGGCTGTCTCCCATTTGTTTCTGACGTAACATTGATCGGCACGACAAATGCACAGCGTTAGGCTCCTGTTTCGAATTCCATGCTGCCTAGGAGACCGTGTACCAAAAAGCGGAAAAAGGTTGAAGGTACAACGTTTTCTAGGCAACATAATTTAAATGTTGAGCAACTGGAGCGTGCGGCGTGTTTCTTATGCAACCCGGTATCAGTGTAGTACAGACGCGCAAATTGCAACGTTGTGTACAGAGTTTGGATATATTACCACCGCACGGGGGTTATGGGTCTTTTCTTCTACTTGGTGCACGTTTACCATCGCGATATGGGGAGAACACCACAGCCAAATATATCGCGATCTCTATCACCCCACGGCCGCACATGACAACAGGAGATTGGCCGTTGTATCTAATTTTCAATCAATGACTTCACTTGTCCAGCAAACTTTTAGCGTGTCGAATACGCTGTCGTCCATCTCCGACGCCATACATGCCAGCGAATTGCAATGTCGCAACCGGTTTGCAGTGCGCGCGGCACCCGGGTTTGAAAGCATTTGAAAAAAAGGGAACTGCAGCGTTGCCGCGGCGTACTGTTCGAGGCTCAGCTGAAGTGATGATGATGATAGCCTTTATTCTACTTCCAAACGTGGGTTCCGTCTACCATGTACGAAGCGGCTTCCCTCTCCGCTTGAGACTCTATAGGATACGCTAGATAGACAACGCGGAGACTGCGGGACAACTGGAAATTTGATAATGCTCACACGGACTCAAGCTTGCACGACGTTGATTCATATCAAACGAGATATGACATCCGTAATAAATATGTTGATAACGTGTTTCTGCGTAAATCTTTAGTCCCCAGTTGGAAGATCCACCATGTTTTGAAGGTTGTTTCACAATGAGCTATCTTTCAGAGAAAACAAATTTGACGCCTCACAGCACAGACGTAATCATCTTTCGTTTTTAATAACAGATTGACAATGATGAACACAGCTAGCCGGCTCCGATTCTGGTGTGCCCACAAAGGTGGAAAGGGGGAGGAAAGGGAGCGAAATTTGCAAAGCTCGAGCCATGTACTGTGATGTCATATGTGAGTACGCAAAGAAAAAACACTTAAAAGGTTGATAGCACATATGTTAAATGTAAATTTACAAATTATGTTGAAAGTCTTACATTTGGTTTTTATTTGACCTTTTGGCGTTCCCTCTCCCAAGTAGCACACCATTGTTGGACCAACATGAGCCCACCACTGGCAAAACGTGGCTCCAATATTGACCTAACATAGGTTTTCACGAAAACACTACCGGATCCAATCGTGGACCATTTATTAATGCCAGTGTTGGACCAAGATTTGACCAATATTTGAACTAATATCGGACCGTCATTCATGCCATCGTAGGACCGCCTCTTAACGGGAGAGCTGCAGACATATTCTTCCGCCTTGCGGGAAGTACTCACCCTCTTTTTGTCCTGTTCCCTCTTATCCAGTTGCATGGCGAGGCGGAAGGGAAGGTCCCGTTTCGTACGGGCGTCTTCTGAGAGGATACGCCTGGGATAAGCAGGATTTGTGGCCCCTCGCAAAGCCTAGCCCTTCGGGTAGTTCTTTAACGAAGCTGGAAGGCTGCGCCCTGGCACTGACCCATTTGAGCTGTCAAAGCCGTTTGGCTGTAGCCTCAAGAAAAGTAAACGCTTACTGGAGAGCTGCCACGCATCCCCGCACCAAGTGAACGTACTTTTGATACTTATTCAAGGTTTCTCAAATAAGGATTGGATAACGCATGCGCGAGATGTGGGGATTTTAAAATGGAAGAATGATTTACATGTGTCCAGAACACTCAGCACCCTGAAAACGCCAGCCTATCCCGCTCAAACCTGCCTCAAATGGGGAACGTTTGAAAAGATAAATGTGTACCAGGCGGGGGCATCTTAGCGGAGCTCTGTTTTCGTGGAGCGCGCACAAATTATTACGTGTCCAACTCGCAGGATATAATGGCCAACGAAATGTGGATGAAGTTTATATCTACACATCCCACCAACCACATGACTTGAAAGGGCAGCAAGGGTGGGTGTCGATATTAGGAAGTTTTACTGGGTCGTTTTTAGCTCTCCGATAATGGCCGATTCACACGACGAACTGACCTGCGTACAGATTGATCAAGTGATAACGCGTCCTAGGTTCGGCCGTCTCCGCAGCGCATCCACACGAGGGAAACGACGAGCAGACGCCAGCGAGGACGGACTGAACCTATTCGCCACCTAGAGTGACGCCAAACTCCACATCGCACCGTTGCACCGTTGTTCAAGAGAGAAATCGACGTTTGCTACTGCGATTAAAAATTGTACGTCG